GCAATTTTTGAGACGTCTCAAAACACTTCTTCAGTCATGCACGCTCTCTCTCTCTCTTGTGCCCACCTCACCTCACCTCACCTTAAGTGCAATTTCCCATTCGTCATCCCATGGACTGGATTGCACTATCATCACCATCTCCTTGCTTGCACTCTCTCCCGTTCGTCCGTATCGCCCCTCTGATTGGCTGTGGTGGTGGCAGTACGATGAGACGGAGAGGCGGAGGGAGATGGCGAAGAATTCACTGGAGAAGTACACGCACTACTACGAGCGCTGGGCCGCCAATGAACAGGTGCGGTGCTAAGGAGCAGGTGGGGTGGGAGGGGGTCATGGGTGGGATGGGATGGCATGGTGTGGAGAAGGAACGTTGGTGGTAAGGAGCAGGTGGGAAAAAGTACACGCACTACTACGAGCGCTGGGCTGCCAACGAACAGGTGGGGCACGAATGGGAGGGGGGTAAGAGAGGGGTGGGGGAGTGGGGTGGGGGGGTGATGGCGAAGAACTCACTGGAGAAGTACACCCACTACTACGAGCGCTGGGCCGCTAATGAGCAGGTGGGGACAGAGTGCATGGGAGGGATGTACAACAAGTAGGTGTGGGCACTCAACGATGTTGAGAAGGAGTAGCAGTGAAGTGAAGTACACCCATTACTACGAGCGCTGGCTGGCTGCCAACAAACTTGTGGGGCAAGAGGGGGTGCGCATTTCAAAGTCTCTTTGACGCGTCGCCAAGGAGTCTCGATGGCAGCTGCACTGCCAAGAGAAACTCGTCGATCTCCATGAGGACCACCTCGTGTAGTAAATGGTGAAGAAACTAGAAGAGACTAGGCGGAGGTGGTTTCTATGCAGATTGAAGAGCCTTTCCCGACAGTGCAGCTGCCATAGGGACTCCTTGACGACGCGATTAAGAGATTTGAAACGCATGCCATGTGCGGATTACGTCGCCCCAGAGGAGGGTGAGGAGAATAGGGTGTTCGGGTGCTTTCTGTTGAGTTTTAGTAGATGGATTAGGGTGTGTGCGTGGTGGACTGGTTGTGTGTGGGAGCTCACAAGTTAATTATTGGAATAATTCCGATTGTTTTAGTTTTTCAACTTCATTCTGGAATTGTGTGGTATTTCGCCACCTATATCCCTTTTTTACCCTCTCCCCCCTCTGCCCTCTCCCCTCCCCCCTTCCCAACCCCCCCCCCCCCCTTTTTTAACCTGAGCCCGAAATTTTTCTGCCTCTCTTGAGTCAAGCATACATTTAGCGTCTGGGCCTGGAAATTAGAGCGGCCAGCATATATACGCGTCCATGTCCACTTAGCTTGCACTGGTGCTGCGGTCTGGATGGCAATCGCCCGTGTGCTGTATGCTAGACCTGTTTTTGAGAAAGACCAGTGTGAGGGGATTTGTGGGTCAACCTTTGCAAGGGTGAAGATACAGGGTTTTTTTTTTCAGTCAAGTCTGGTTGATTTCTGCTATAACCTCCCACCATATTTGTCCAAAAGACTGTCCCACGCCACCGCCTCCCTGGATGCAAGTCTACCCACATAATGCATATACACATGCTTTTTCTCTCCCTCTCTCTCTCTCCACACTCCACCCCCCTCCCCCCCCTTTCCCCACCCCCTTGCCATGTGCTGCCCCTCCAGTCGAGAGTAAAGGCGCTCGAGTCGTTGCGCGAGATGCAAACAGTCAAGGTACTTCCACTCACTCACTGGGTGAACGGGGGCAGGGTGAATGGGGCAGTCTGTGTGTTGCAGGGTGGTTCCCGTACCGCCTCTCTTTGTTTTCTCTTTTTTTGGTGGATAGTTCGTCTAAGCTCGTGGTGTGCCTGACTCCTGATGGTTTTTTTCCCTTTTTGTTATTGCGTGGTGTGTTGCGTTGCCTTCCATCGCGGCATGTTGTGGGGTGTGCATGGGGGTGTGTATCGCCATGGCAGATAGAGCAACTGAGTGAGCGCCACAGCCAGCCCGTCTCGCAACTCAAGTTCGTCATCGACGCATGGCTGCAGGTGAGTCATCGACGCATGGCTGCAGGTGAGTCATCGACGCATGGCTGCAGGTGAGTCATTGACGCATGGCTGCAGGTGATTCATTGACGCATGGCTGCAGGTGAGTCATTGATGCATGGCTGCAGGTGAGTCATTGACGCATGGCTGCAGGTGAGTCATTGACGCATGGCTGCAGGTGAGTCATTGACGCATGGCTGCAGGTGAGTCATTGACGCATGGCTGCAGGTGAGACCCTCCCCACCTCACTCGTTTTGCTCCTTTCGCCTCTCCTCTGCCACACCAGGTGGTGGAGTGTCGCAGAGTCCTCAAGTGGACATACGCGTATGGCTACTACCTGCCAGAGGCGGAGGTGGCTCGTCGGCAGTTCTTTGAGTACCTGCAGGGCGAGGCGGACGCGGCGCTGGAGAATCTGCACAAGATGGCGGAGAAGGAGCTCGAGCTCTACATCTGTGATGACGGGGACCCACCCCCGACGTCTTTTAACGATTTTCGTTCACGACTGGCGGGGCTCACCAGGTGAGAATGGTGTGGTGAGCAGAGGGTGGTGGGTGTGAGTGTGGGAGAATCTGCACAAGGTGGCCGAGAAGGAGCTCGAGCTCTACATCTGTGATGACGGGGACCCACCCCCGACGTCTTTTAACGATTTTCGTTCACGACTGGCGGGGCTCACCAGGTGAGAATGGTGTGGTGAGCAGAGGGTGGTGGGTGTGAGTGTGGGAGAATCTGCACAAGGTGGCCGAGAAGGAGCTCGAGCTCTACATCTGTGATGACGGGGACCCGCCCCCTACTTCCTTCAACGATTTACTCTCACGGCTGGCGGGATTGACGAGGTGAGTGAGAAGGGGGTGGTGAGCAGAGGTTGGTTGGTGGATGTGTGAGTGTGGGAGAATCTGCACAAGTGGGGAAGAAGGAGCTCTAAATCTGTGACGATGGGGACCCGCCGCCCACCTCGTTCAACGACTTCCGGTCGCGACTGGCGGGATTGACCAGGTTAGTGGGAAGGGGTGGTATGCAGTGTGGATGGGCGAGAATTGGTTCGGTGAAGCTGGTTAGAAGGCTGTGGTAGGTGGCCTTTTAGATTCTTTTGAAGAGTGGATGCCTGTTTGGATGAGACGATTCTTCAGGTGCAAATAAAACTGGTAATGTTTGGGTGAGAAGGGAAAGTGACAAGGGGAGAAGAAAGGTGTATAAACAGGGGAGGTGGGTTGTGCGACCATCGCTCTCACCAATCCAGCACTGCCTCCATCCCTCCCTCCTTCCGTCCCTCCGTCCCTTCCACCTTCCACCTTCCCCGCCCCCTCTCTCTGCACTGTGACACACACGTACATTGAGAACCTAGTGAGGGTCCTCATTTCTTCCTTCCCTCCCTCTCTCTCCCTCCCTCCCCACTTCTCCCCTTCCACCTCCCGCCCCCGCCCCCCAGTGTGACGCACACATACTTTGAGAACCTAGTGAGAGCACTCGAGAACGGCCTGGCAGACGTCGAGAACGCCTCTACAGCTGCCTCCTCCACACGCGCCGCTGCCGCCGCCGCCGCAGCAGCAGCGGGCCGAGCCATCGCCAGCACCTCGCGCATCTCCCAGTCCCGCTTCGGCGCCCGCACCCGCTCCCGCACCACTGCCGCTTCCGCCGCCGCCGCTTCTACCTCTGCTGCTGGCTCGTCTGCTGCAGGCCCTAGTGGTTCGTCTGCGGGAGCAGCAGCAGCGGGTGGTGGGGGTGGTGCGGGGTCGAGCCGCGGGAGTATTTTCCGGTCGTCGTCGTCGCAAGCGGCCGCTGCGGCGGCGGCAGCGGCGGTGACGGTGGGGAATGCGGCGGGGAGGGAGCGGGAAGAGACGGCGTATTGGTCGTGTGAGCACTGCACGTATGCAAACCCGTTGCCTGGCCGGGCGTGTGCCATGTGCCATCTGCCACGTAGCACCCGGTGATGGGGGATTTGTGGGGAGATTGGTTCGTTGGGCTGTGCTGTGCCGCCAACCGTGTATGGTAGCATTTGATGCAGAATGATGTAATATTGCTAACAAGATGATGTAGTATAGTCTGCCTTGCATGGTGTAATCCCTTTCTGACAGTGTCAATGACTGGTGATTGTTGAGTTGGTTGTGTCAGGTGGTTTCAGATAAAGAATGCTGCAATTCTTAGCGGCATGTGCATTCGTTCTTCGCTGTGCTATAGTACTTCAGTTGTTTAGGTCCCTTCCACATGTCTTGTGTCGAGGATAACCTTCAGCGTCGACCTCCGATTCGCTGGAATGGAGAATGAATGAGGACCTCAAATGCGCCATTGAATGTGCGGCTCCGCTCGTCCTTCCAGTTGCCATTTTCGACAGTCACATTGGTGGTTCGGCTTCTTTGTTTCCCGTCGGTCTGCCCAGAGCAACTTCTGAAGCTTTCTGCGTCAATCCGAGAACAAAGAAACCGTAGAAAGCGAGTCTGTCGAGGTTCTTCCGTCCGTCATCTCCTGTCGGAAATGAAGGCAAATGAACGTCTAGAAAGTGAATGTCGGTCCGCCCTAAAACTTTTTATGCTTGTGCTTCCATCAGCTCACTCTTCCGTTCTGCTGCTCCCCTCGTGATTGATGAAACTCCAATTCATGTCTCCTGCATAACAAGACTGGCATATTATTGCTTTCTCTTTTCCTACCTCGCTCTTGCCACTCTCCCATTAGCCCGCTGCACTGCGCCGGATCATTTGAAGGGGTCAACCGGAGTGTCTTAGTCGCGGAACAAGCCCATTGTATTCTTAACAGTCGTGTTGCGGTCGAAGTACCACTTTTGCCAGATGGCCTCCTCGACTAGCCTCTGCAGCCGAAGCGTTTTACTTCCTGGAACCGCACGACGGTTTGATTTTGTTCCGATCACGGAATCCGTCACAGAACGGCCGGTTTCAAATCTCAAGTGCGACGGGTTGAGATGCTCGCTGCACGACAAATCGTCTTCCCTAAAGGTCGCCGCGGTTGAGAGACGGAAGGCTACCAAAGCACGAGTAGCGAGCGCACGAGAGGCGGCGGCAGGAGGTGCAACGGGCTCAAGAGCGGACACAGAAAGAAGAAGCAGCGAGGCGAACCCAGTCATTCGACCCGTGGTCATTCTCCCGGTATGCCCCACGAGCCATGCCCCCTACTCCCTGCTCCCTGCTCCATGCTCAGATGCGGCATCCGCCTGCGCGCCAATCCCAATCAACATCGCTGCCATATGTTCTTCAATGGGACCACGAATCTCGCATCCTCACGCGTGTCCGCGAGCCCCGAATTCCCCGCTATAAGCTGCTTCCCTTTCCATCCATTCGACATCTGCGTACGCGCCACGTGGCGAGCAGGGATTGGGCAACAACTCGGCGGATTACGCGGAGCTCGTCGCGCTGCTGGAGGCGCAGGGCGTGGCGGCGGAGGTGGCACGCGTGGCGAGACCTGATTGGCTGCGGAACGCCGCGGGGCTGCTGCAGGCAGACTACTGGAAGGGAACGCTCAAGCCTCGGCCGATCCTCGACTGGTGGGTGGGTCGCTGGGCTGGTCCGGTTCGTGGTGAATTGGTAGGGCGTATGACACGGCTGATGGTTCCAAAGAATGCGTCCCGCACGCCTCTTGGAGCGCCTGCTCCGCGTTTTGCGATTAGCGTTCCCCTCTGTGCACCTGTCCGTGTGCTGTGCCTGTGTATCTCTGTTCTCGTGCGTAGCTCTCTTGCCGTCTGACGTGGCCTGTCTGTCCTGTCTCTCGCTCTACCTGGCCGGCAGGTACCTGGAGCGGGTGGCCGCAGCTGTGGAGGCCGCCAAGAAGAGAGTCCCAGGTGATTCTTCAGATGCACTGCACTCCCTCACTCACAATTACTCACAATCAATCATACCATGCATGCCCATCCATTTCCAACATTCATTCTGTAATCCAACCAGCAGTCAACCTCCATCCCCTCTATCCCCACTATTCCCCCTATCACCCCTGTCCCATCTACCCCATCTATCCCCTCTATCCCCTCTATCCCCTCTATCACCCCTGTCCCCTCTATACCCTCTATTCCCTCTATTCTCTCTACCTTCTCCCCACCTCTCGCATTCCAATCCCTTTCAACCCGCTCGCTGGCGCCTCGCAGGTGTCACTGGTGGCGCACTCAGCGGGCGGGTGGCTGGCCCTCTGCCTGACTGTCTGCTCACTACCCCCTTCTCCCTCTGCACCCTACCCCCGTTCCCCTCCTGCACTCCCCCCCAGGCGCCTCCCAGGTGTCGCTGGTGGCGCATTCAGCAGGCGGGTGGTTGGCCCTCTGCCTGACTGTCTGCTCACTACCCCCTTCTCCCTCTGCACCCTACCCCCGTTCCCCTCCTGCACTCCCCCCCAGGCGCCTCCCAGGTGTCGCTGGTGGCGCACTCAGCAGGCGGGTGGCTGGCGCGTCTCTACCTCGCGGAGTACGGCCATGCTGACGTGGCGCTGCTGCTCTCCCTCGGCTCGCCGCACCTGTGAGTGTGTGTGGGGCGCGTGGTATGGCAGGTGGTTGTCACGAGGGTGACGGTGTGTTTTGTAGGGCTGTCCAGTTTGCAGATTTGTGATGTGATGGGGTGCACACAATGGTTGCAAGCGTGCAGGATATGGCCCTCTGGCGTTGCCCTCTGTCACAGCGTGCCCTCTGTCAACTATTGCCCTCTGGCCTCTGCTTTGCACCATTGCCTCTATCCCACACCAACCCCTGTTTCTTAAACTACACTTTTTTGCCCTTATTCTTTAAACCCTCTGGCTTCTCAATGCTATCCTGATTTTTTTCTTCCCTCCAATCAATCACCCCCCCCCTCTTCCCCCCTTTCCTCTGCATACCCTCTCTCTAGCCCACCGCCACCAGGGGCGCAGGGGGTGGTGGATCAGACGAGAGGCCTGTTAACGCACATGCAGGCCGTCTCTCCAGGCGCTTTCCATGCACCCCATGTCAAATACGTCTGCGTCTCGGGCAGGTGAGGCGTTTTCCCTTGAGCAGGTGAGGCGTTTTCCCTTGAGCAGGTGAGGCGTTTTCCCTTGCGCAGGTGAGGCGTGCCCATTCTCGTGAGGTGCCTACAGCTTATATGCTTTGCTCATCACTACCCACCCATGCAGGTAGAAATTGCGGGTAGAGAGACGACTTTTGAGGCGCCTCAAAAACAGCTCATATGCTTTGCTCATCACCTCATCGCATCTCCACCCACCCACCCATCCACCCACCCACCCATGCAGGTACATCAAGGGTTTGCCCCTCTTCGGCAGTGCCGCTCCCACCCCTGCAGCAGACGCAGCAGCCTCAGCACCAGCCTCTATGGCAGCAGTGGCAGCAGCAGCAGGGGGGGAAGCACGTGTCTTTGCCCTCGATGTGAAACCAGTTGGGGGCTCATCAGCAAAGACGGGCACTGAGAGCGAGAGTGAGGAGGGCAGCAGTGGGGCTTCAGAAGATGACGAGGCGGGTGCTGAGAGGCAGGTGGGATCTGGGGGAGGTGTGTTGCAGGCGCGCATGGTGGGGCAGGGGTACAAGCAGGTGTGCGGGCGGGCGGACGTGTGGGGAGACGGAGTGGTGCCGGAAGATGCCGCCCTGCTGGAGGGGGCGGAGAATCTGATCTTGGACGGCGTGTACCACTCGCCTGTGGGCGCCAGTGAGGCCCGGCCGTGGTACGGCTCTCCGTCTGTGCTGCCCTCGTGGCAGCACCACCTGTTTGTTTAAGCTGGTATCCATTGTCTAATACCTCCTAGAATTGGGAGGTCGGATCAGCTTTGAAGTCATGCTTCGGATGATGAGCGAGGATGCATGGCAGGCAGGATGAAAGGGGCGGAATAGGAAGGGGAGGGACTGTTATAAAAAAATGGCAGGTAGCAGATTGGTGTAATGGGAAGGGGGTAAACGGATGGGTGCAGTTGAGAGAGGTGGGAGGGAGTGACGTGCATTGTCTCACTATAGGAGGGGCAGACAGGATGATTACAAGTGGACGTACCGGATAAACCGTGCAGCCACATATCATTAACAACCTGTTTGGCTCAGCTTAAAAAATACATGAATTTTAATGCCTGGAAAAAAAAAAGTCCCAAGCATCCTGTAGAGGTGTTTATGAAGGCTGATTTTGATATTTTTGTATGCCTTGTAACCTGTATTGATATATAAGCTCGGGTAAACTCGTCCGCAACTGTCCGAGCGGAAGCGAATTTTATTTACAGCGGAGCTGTTCCTTGAGCTATGGAATTTTCGAGAGAGAATGACTCCAGTGGCCAATAAGGTGATTCACCATCCCTCGCGTGGCCACGAATGACTCGAGTGGCCACCAAATTTGGTGATAATGACTCGAGTGGCCACGCCAGGGGATTCTTGCTGGCTTTGTTTTCTTCGGCACATTACCCTACGGGGCTTTGTAGACCCGAAATTCCCCATTCGTGCGAGGGTTATCCTTAGGTAGTGTTCCGTTCTGTTCCGCACCCGAAAATTTCGCCAGGCTCACGGACGCGAAAGTGGCCCGCTCACTGTACATTGACCAACAGTACATTGACCGGTCATTTTCGGCCAAATGCTCGACAAATGAGCGCGCGGTCAATATAATTCACATCCAATCAGCGAACGAGCATATTGTCAGTAGAGCTACACTGTGAGATCCCCGATCGATCCTAGGGGGGGTTACAGGCACGTTTGCCTGGGGGGTTATGGGCGCACTGACCCGCTACTGAAATAAGCCCTTTTATCCCAATGGTCTAGTGGTTGGGATTCTGACATGGTATCAGAGCGGTCTCGGGTTCGAATCCCGGTGTATGCACATGTTGGCCGTTGCCACTGTGCTCAGTCCTGGGCCTCCCAGTGTGGGGGGGTGTCAGTAGAGCTACACTGTGAGATCCCCGATCGATCCTAGGGGGGGTTACAGGCACGTTTGCCTGGGGGGTTATGGGCGCACTGACCCGCTACTGAAATAAGCCCTTTTATCCCAATGGTCTAGTGGTTGGGATTCTGACACATATGACTTCGCGATCATATACTGCAATTGACCCGAAACGAACTGACACTGCAAAAACGACCGCGCTCGATTGGTCAGGAGATATGCGCGTCCAATCAGGTGCCATCGTATAGTTCCCGATCATATACTGAAATGATCGGCCGTCGGTTCGCGATAAATCAGTTGACCGCGCGTGATTGGTTTGTCTTGTTCGCAGGATATGACCAGACATTGCGCGTCCAATCAAAGAACGTCCAAACAAAGGCGCAGTCATATATTATATAAGGCCGCGCAATAACCTTTATGTGCGCGCATTTTTTATGATGCGTAGTGAGCTTATAAAACCTAAACATAAATCCAAAAACTTATTCTCCCTGAGTATATTTGGTATGTCGTGGCTACTGCCTTGAGTTTTGTTTTGCCGTTAATCTAGATAACACTGTGAACACCTTTCATGTGGTGATATGCGCGGAGGGTTATACTGCTATGCATATGTATCTATTGGCATGTCAGGTTAGGATCTACGCATGTATACCATAGTTTAAGTAGATCGTTTTGATGTTTACGGATCACGCAATTCCAGTATCACCAAATGTCACAGGATTTACTGCGTTGCTTGACCTAGGAAGGCATCGATGATGTCGTCTGCTGCCCCTGCACACGGTCATGAAACAAATTCAAGAATAATTACATGGTTAGGATTTTGACGGGCTATGGATACGCAAAACTATGACGCATCAACACATCTCAACATGGTTACACAACATGGCTGAATTACAATGTTACCGAGCAATCCCTTATTGCAGCCATTGCAGTGTGGTAACTCTGCCACCGTTGATTATTACCATGGTTGCTTCATACCATGTTTGTGCTACCAGTCCGTAACTGTTGCAATGGTCTTAGTCTCAATTGTGACATTGAGAACATTATACATAAACAGCCTAGTGCCATGGTGGAGAAACTCCACTGACGCAATGTTATATCCATTTGTGCCATGGGTACACATTGAGCACGGTAAATCATATTCCATGCATTCCCGATTAGAAAGTAGGAATGTTGTGCCGACACTGCTCTCCAGCCTACTGCATGACACCATAAGCGTGAATACATGTTTCAATAACACCCTACGGGGCATCACAATTTACGTGAGGAAGTTTTGACATTTACAACCATAATTCCATTGTATAGATAGCATTTAACGAAACCACTTTACTGTATCCTTCTCTCGGATGTAACGGTATGCGTGCGCGGTTACATCGAACCCCAAATTTGCCTTGTGGACCGGTGATATGCGCATTGTGTTTCGACCAGTCACGTGCTCTTGCGTATATGACCGGTCATATACGAGGCTGCATATGCGCAATCAGATGTGCGTGTGGGGTATTACTGGTCAAGAGCGGAAGGCTATATGGCCGGTCAATTGTTCACGAGAATACCATTGGTCGGGAACATATGATCATATGACTGGTCATAAGTGGGATCATTAATCTAAGTTCGTGAGAGTCTCCTATACTCATATATAACCATAAAATAAGCAGCCTCCCACAGTCCCTATTATTCAACACTCAGCAAATTATCGTACCCCACAACATTAGTTTGCTACATGATACACCTCTGACCCCCCATATTTTCCCTTACACTTCTTCCTGGTATGCCGAATAGACCCACAGTCGCCACACTTGTATGTCCGTTTTGGTGCTTCACGCCTTCGGTTAGATTGTGGCCGCCCTGATCCTCTCTGCACAAAGACGGGGGGGTCACAAACTCCCTCCTCAACGGGCATGGTCTCCGCAATGACCGTGTCTATACACGAATACGGAATGAGCGCCGAGTACGTCCTTCTCCAGTTCTCCGTCTTCCAATACCTGGTGATCAAGGGGATAACATCCATGTGTCTATCCCGTAAGTGTGCAAACGCATGAGAACAGGGAAACCGATATTCTTGCCAATTATTGCACTCGCACACTCTCTCTCCCACATCATTGTTGAAGGAGAGGGGACGTCGGTCCAAAGTGCTCCCCTTGTTCCGAACTCTTGCCTTGCTCGGACCATTGCGCGTGACCCTGTAACCACGGCTTCGGTTCTTTTTCAGCTCAAACCGCTTCTCAGCTTCGACCGTCAATGCATGCTGCCAGTTGATCGACTTCTTCTGCCCATCCGAGTAGATTTTTGCCATCCAATCCCACATGCCCGCCATCACGTAAGAAACCGGCAAGATGCGGATCTTCTTAATAGCATTCTTGATCGACTCCACCATCTGGCTGCTGTAAATGCCAAACCGACAGGTGGGGGCATAACACCGTGCCCATTGCTTGATGAATACTGTGATCCTTTTTTTCCTCTTGCATCTCGGTCCATCCTGGCCCGTGCGAACAATAATGCCCGCCCCATCCTCCATGGTGCCACTGTCCACCCGCTCAGCATCACCATTGCCCGACCCCCCCAATCCCGTCTCTACAGCGTGGTTCACGTTCGTTGCCGCTGTGGCTTCGTTTGCCCGACCCATGTCTGTCGGAACTTCCTGCTGCGGCAGTGGCTGCCGCGCACTTTGGCTCCCTTGCGTAGGCAGCTGTGCTTCTGGTGATCCGTCGCGTTCCCGCCTTCTTGCACCTGCCTCTCTTGCATTCCGCCTTCCCCTGATAATCTCCATCCGCCGTTGGCGTCTCATGGCCGCTTGTTGCGATGTCGTGGTGGATGGCGGTTGAGTTGTAGTATTGTTAGGTTGGCAGCCGTGGCCCATGTCTGTACGCCCCTCATCCCCATCAGGCTCCGAATCCTCCCCACAGCTGATTTGACTCCCATCCTCCACGTCAAAGTGCTCCTTGAATACTTCATCTGTGGTATCCACCTCCGCCTCACTGTCGGAGGTGGTTGCAGCATTGTCTCTCTCATTCTCGCCTGCCAAAGAAGGGTGCGCGGATGTGGTTGCTGTCACACGATCAAGTGGATGCATGTTGTCAGCAGCCGCCGATTGAGGCTGCATGTCTCTAGGGCGGTGACGGGTATTATCTGCAGTTGGCATGGGGGGCAACCCACGGTCCCTTTGGGGCGGCTGAGATGGAAGCTGCTGAGATGGCTGCTGCTGAGATGATGGCTGCTGGGTTGATTGTTGCTGAGTTGAATGATGATGTACTCTTCTGTGCCTTGACGGTGTACGTTGAGATGGTGGATGCTGCAGTGGAGACTGCTGAGCGTGTGGCTGCTCAGACCGTCCCTGCAAAGATGATGGTGGTTGTGTCACTGGCTGCTGTGATGGTCGTTGCCGAGATGTTGCCTGCTGAGAAGGTTCCTGCTGTGATGGTGCCTGCTGCCCTCCTCTGCGACCACTCCTCCTTTGCCGCCGCACTTCCATCCTTTCCATTCTCGCTCTTCTTGCAGCACCCGTGCGGCTTGTTAACCCATCCCCCGTCTGTGGTTCCCGTGCACGCTGGTTGGCCCCGCGTCCGCCCCGGCTCTGCTGCGCACTGGCCTCCTCGACCCCAAAGAGATAGTTAGCCATTGCAGCACATTCGGCCCGGCATCTCCTCACGAGTTTGCCAAACTTCCGCTTGGTGCGGCAGTTGGCGAGCTTCTTGAAGAGTTCGGAGGCGTTGAGGCCAAACTTGAGCACATTCTGCTCCAAGTGCCAGCTGCAAAAGTAGTGGGGGAACTGGGATGGGAAAACTTCTTTAACCGTCGGAATTAAGCCCTTGTCACGATCGCTGATGAGGGAGGCATCCTGGGTGGCCGGCCACGACGGAAAATGCTTCAACAAATTCTCACAAAACCACTTCCAACTATCTTTGTTTTCACTCTCGCACAGGCCGTAAGCGAGTGGAACAAGCTGGTTATTTCCATCCTTAGCAGCTGCTACCAAGAGCGTGGCCCGTTGCGCACGAATAAGAAAAGTACCATCCACACCTATGACTGGTCGACACAACCTTAGAGCAGTCCTTGACGCGGATGGGGCGACAAAAGCCCGGAAGAAAGCGTGATCCCTTGTCACCAGGTCGAGCGTGGAATCAGCGTCAATCTCTTTGAAGCGTTCCAACACCCGCGGAAGGTAGCGAAAAGATGTTTTCCAATCCCCAAAACGTTCCTTCAGCATCTTTTCCTTGAGCCTGCCAAACGGACGATGGTGTGCAAGAAAACAAAAGAAGGTGGCACAACCATGAGGTGGATGGGATGATTAAGAAATTGCATGTGACAATAGCTGTCATGTGAAATGAATGCTTGAAAACTTACCGCCAAGATTGCTTATAATTAATATCGGGACCACCGGTAGACGCAATCTGGTCCTTGTACGTCCCGGGAGGGTGATGTGGTGCAGCTTGGACAAGATTGCCGTGATGACGCTGCAGATAGGACACTTTATTTGTCGTGTGTTTCACGTAGTTGTCCCGATCAACGAGTGAGCAGCAGTGGGATGATGGGGCGGACAGTTTATCGACACGCCAAAACCCACCCACTCCGTCAGTAGAGTACTCACACTGCCACCGGCACGGGGGTTTACGACGCTCATGTTGACTCATGCATATGGCTTTGGCTCTGTTTCGTCTACTCCTCGTAACCCTAAATCCGAAGTTGCAAGCTACGGAATAGTCCTCCAGTGCTTCGTACAAAAATTTCTTAGACGAGTAAAGTTGACCTTCACACAACGGTGCTCGATCATCTATGACGATTTGTGGCGAGGGAGCCTCGTCGGCGACCATTTCCCGGAGCAACGCACGGTACATATCGCTTTGCTTCGGCTCTCCAGTTCCAACAAAGCAAAACTCTGTGTCGTCATCGCCTGAGTCGGACTCTGTGTTAGAAGTATATGACGTCGAACTCATTGCGGCAAATAGGAACGTTCTAACAGTAGGCCTTCCTAGATGAACCTACTATAAGGACCTAACTGGTCTAATCAAAGGCTAAGGTAGATGTCAACCCTAAAACGACGAGAAGAAATGGTGTGAGCGATCTCTAGCATATGGGTCAAATGGTAAAGCGCGGGAAGATGGGAAGGGCGTACCAAACCAGATTGAGCGCCTTAATACGAACCTAATTGGCTAGAGTTTAACTTTTGTGCGAGTGTTTTTAGTATATGATTGGCGGGATCACATAGGAAATTGTGTATAAATGAACGCGTTCAAATATGATCGCCAAACCTTAATTATTGCCCTTGATTGGACGCGCAACGGCCACAGTAGCACCGCGCATAAAACTTGACCAATCATGCGCGGTCGTTATTGCTGTGACGGATCGTTTCAAGTCAATAGAAGTATATGATCGCGGTGCAATATGCTCGATCGCTGATTGGTTTAGAATTTGGTCGCGCATTAGCTCGAAATTGGTCGCGCAAACACTATTGTTCGGAATATTTGTCGGTTTCTTGTACAGTGGGCGGGCCACGTTCGAGCCGCCACCCTGGCGAAAATTTCGGGTGGTCAATGGTTATGTACACTTATGCGGGCTAACCCTCGCACGAATGGAGAATTTCGGGGACACAAAGCCCCGTAGGGTAATGCGCCGAAGAAAAAAAAGCCAGCAAGAATCCCCTGGCGTGGCCACTCGAGTCATTATCACCAAATTTGGTGGCCACTCGAGTCATTCGTGGCCACGCGAGGGATGGTGAATCACCTTATTGGCCACTGGAGTCATTCTCTCAATTTTCGATGATGATGAATGGATTCATCCAGTTCTGCACCTCGATTGGCAGCCCCGATACTGCATGGATTTCGCCACGCCAATGAGGCAAAATATCGACGGCTCATTTCCATCCTAGTCACTATCCGTTACGAACCGACGGCAGGAGATGAACGGAACTGAGACGGCAAACAAATGATGACTCATTTCCATCCATTGCGAACCCACGGCAGGAGATGAACGGAACCTGGAACATATCCATTGTCGCAAACAAGTCTCTTGTTCCCGTAGAGTCAAGTTGCGAGCATCGTTCAAACAACTGCAGAACGACCTCATCTTATTCCTTTTCCTTTGAGATACCACGAGTCACGTCACACTCGTTTATAAAGTCCAGGCTGGTTCTGCATCTAGTTCTTGCATACCATCCTTTTACAGATCCTTAGTAATCTCGTCTGCTATGGAAACGATTGAGTCAGCGACACATATTAACGACCTTCCCGACGACATCCTCGCTAAGATACTATGGCATTGCGAGGAGTCAACACCTTGGAAACCCGAGAGTGACGCGTTATGGTCTCGGCATTCATTGTTGCCGAGACCACCACGGTACCTTCGCTCGATCGTCTTAGACAAAGATCCCAGTCCTGAGGAGGAAGACTCGTATCCAGTATCGTACCCCTCCGCCGTTCCAACCGCTGCCAAGATCTTCCTCGTGTCGTCGGTGTGCCGTCGTTGGCGCGATGTAGCTCAGCGTAACATCTCCACGCTGCTCGTCGAAAGAAAACAAGCTATTCCCCTCCAACAACTCTCGAATGCCGTCGCGTGCTTCCCGAATCTCACCCATCTCCATCTGTGCGACGGCAGCGTGGATTCCCTAGACGACTCCTTCCTCGCTCACCTCGCGTCATCCTGTCCTAAGCTCAAGAGTCTCCACGTGGGACGCGGGATCACTCAGCATCGGGACTACGTCGGACCGAAGCATAAGCACCCGATCACCGAGTCTGGCCTGGATCGCTTCTTCCAGCGATGCACTCAGCTGGAGCAGCTTTCACTGCTCTGCCTCCATCGGGACGTCCACCTACCCGCTTCCTTCTTCCGCCTCACGAGTCTGCACACCCTGGCGTTAACAGCCGCCTCCGCCTTAGAAGCTCCAGATCTGGAGACCCTCTCTTCTCTCACCACTCTTCATATCGCCTTCCCGGAGTTGACCGAGGAGCAACTGGCCAACGTGCGTCGTCTTCCCAGCATCACCGGCCTTTCACTCTCTGCCGGGACCTCGTTTTCTCCTCATGGCTCGGCTGCCTTCGCCATCGCACAGCTGCCTTTGATCAAATCGCTGGACTCTCGCCACGTGTTGCTGTCGGATTGGCCATTGACCAGTCTAGAACGCCTGCAGATATCAGATTGCAGAGATTTGAAGCGACTTCCGGCCAGAATCGAGGAGTTGCTGCCGCGTCTGCGTGAGCTGACCGTTTCCAGCTGCCATGCCTTGGAGGAGCTGCCGGAGGGTGTCTGTTCCCTGAAGCACCTCGAGACTTTGGCAGTCATCAAATGCGACCAATTCCGCTGCCTGCCTGAAAACGTTGGGCGATTGTCTGCCTTGTCAACTCTGGTTCTGGGTTATCTGCCGCTGCTGGCGAGCCTGCCTGCCTCGATCTGCCAGCTCAGCTCGCTGGAGACCTTCTTTCTGCTCTTGTGCGACTCAATCCGCGAGCTGCCAGCAGGGTTCGGCTGCCTCACAGCTGTCACGACTCTCTGCCTCGAAGGAGTGGAGCTTCCAGCGGACATAGGACGCCTCAGTAACCTCCACACGCTGCTTCTGGAAAGGAGCTTCGGATATCCGCATCTCCCGTGCTCGTTATCCTCGTTATCCGAGATCACATCGCTGACGAGGCTTGAGCTGAACGTGTGCGGCGTGGAGTTGCTGCCGGAGGGCGTGGGGTCGCTCAGCAGCCTGCGCGAGCTGCACGTCTCAGGTTGCCCTTGGCTCACGGCCGTTCCAGCGTCCGTGACGGGCCTGACTGCCCTTGAAGCTCTCTCTCTCGCTGACTGCCCTCTGACCTCAGCACCCACAAGGCTGGACGGCTTGACACGGCTCAAGCGGCTGGAGGTGGCCCGATGTGACATGCTGACACGGCCTCCTCTAGTCCTGCCGGCTTCAATCGAATGGCTGAGTTGGGGAAATGACTGGCAGGCCATGGCTCTGCCAGACCTCTCCACGCTGACGGGGCTTCGAACGCTCCGCCTGGAAGAGGTTGCGGTGCCGTGTGGGGTCGCTGTGAGCAGGAGCCTATCGCACCTGGAGCACTTACAGCTCACTTTGGCAGGCAATGCGGAGGAGCTTCCATTCTCCTTGACGTTCCTCTCCCGCCTGCGCACCCTGTATATTCACAACGCGACGAATCTCCAAAGGCTGCCGGCCGACATCGGGTCGGCACTGCCGCAGCTGCGGAAGCTGAAGCTGAAATATGCGGAGAAGTTGAGGGAGCTGCCAGCGAGTGTGACTGCGCTGCAGAACCTCACGAGCTTGGATTGCTTCGCGCCCAAACTGGCTTCTCTGCCGCATGACATCGCTGCTTTATCCAGGCTGCGGGAGCTGCACCTCTATTACAATCAGCTTAAGCAGCTGCCTGCCTCTTTCACCCAGCTTGCCTGCCTGAACAAGCTGTCGATTCTAAACAGCCCCATCCGTTCCCTGTGTCCCAACGCTGCACAGTTCACGCGGCTCAGATCCCTCGATCTGTCAGGCTGTGCGCAGCTGGAGGCATTGCCGGGGGATTTGGGTGCGCTGAAGGCACTGCGGAAGCTGAAATTGTTCAGGTGTGGGCTTGTGAAGGACACTGATGGGTCTGTGCTCCCCAGGAGCATCAATGAAGTGTACGGGCTGAAAATATACATTTAGGTAGGCACCGCACCAGTAAGATATTATGGCATGGCATATACCGTAGCGTCTTCTTAAATAGGTTGTTTGCTTAGGTTTGATGTGATGACTCTGAGGTGACCAGTGCGGATAGGTAGGCGGGGAATGAATACAATCGTAAGAGATAGTTAGGGGGGGTCTTGAACACCTGGAGGAATGATGCTGAGGGCGATTACTTCACTGACTGACTGCTGCTGCTGGTGTTACCATACCATCACTGCCATCTCTGTTTACTGCCTTCACCGATGGCACTGCCGCCATTTCTCATCACAATTTCCATAACCTCGACTGCCATCACATTCATCTCATGGCCTGTTTTATGTACAACCTATCATTGGCTCCCTCGCTTAGCGACAAGAAGCATCCAAGTCAATGATCACTGTGCTGGGCCATGCCTAAACTAAAACTTGTCACCGCATATGTAGGGTACATGCACCGCATATGTTTTGGAACGGCTGAACTCTTCCGGATATTCTGCTCTGCACCAACCGCCATGACCACAACCAGCCTGGACTGGACACAGTGAAGTGCTGAAATACAACAACCAGCACCTCAGCACAAACAGTCGGCACCTCAGCAGCATCAACACAACAGCCATGGCCACTTGCAGGAGAGAGAGCCGTGGCACCATGCAGCACAGAGATCCATGAGTTGGGTGATTGTGGCTGCCACCTCAGCAGCATCGACAGCCGTAGCCACTTGCACTGCACTGAAGGCACCCCCACCCATGGGTTGGGGTTGGGACCGTTCCAACTGATGGGAGGCGGGAGGGAAGGTGTACGCAAAAGTATGTGAGGGAGGCGAGAGAGGTGAGAGAGGTGAGAGAGGTGAGAGATGAGAGGTGAGAGGTGAGAAGTGAGAGAGGTGAGGGAGGGGAGGCAAGGAGGGCATTTCAGCATGCAGATGCCAGCGGGCTTGAGCGCTGGGGACGGACGGAGAGCAAGGGCCAGCCTGTAGCAACCACTCATGCGCCACCTGAGATGCTCTAAAAGTCTCGAGATCGAATCTTGAGACCCCTCAGGCAAGACTCAAATGCTGGCATGGGCGCAGGACGAGGGGTTGAATGGCAAGGTGGGGAATGAGGGCATTGAGAGAGTGTGGCCTGAGGGCGCGAATGGAGAGAGGTGACGGAGTGTGAGGGAGGTGAATGGAGACTTGTCCACTTGTTGTGACTTGTCTGGGCGACCCTAAACCCTGCATGCGGCTGACCTGCCCTGCTCTCCATGCCACCATCCTCGCATACCCAATCCCACGCCTTCTGCTGCGCAGTTGTATGTAAGCCCCCCTCTAACCTGCTCTGCCCGTTGCTCTGCCCTCTGATTTGCCCTCTGCTCTGCCCTCTTCTCTGCCCTCTGCTCTGCCCTCTGCTCTGCCCTCTGCTCTGCCCTCTGCTCTGCCCGTTGCTCTGCCCTCTGATTTGCCCTCTGCTCTGCCCTCTTCTCTGCCCTCTCTTCGGCCATCTGCTGCCATGCCATGCCACCATCCACGCCGCTGCCCCTCAGTCAGCACTGCCCCTCAGTCAGCATTGCCCCTCAGTCAGCACTGCCCCTCAGTCAGCACTGCCCCTCAGTCAGCACTGCCCCTCAGTCAGCACTGCCCCTCAGTCAGCACTGCCCCTCAGTCAGCACTGCCCCTCAGTCAGCACTGCCCCTCAGTCAGCACTCAGTCAGCACTGCCCCTCAGTCAGCACTGCCCCTCAGTCAGCACTGCCCCTCAGTCAGCACTGCCCCTCAGTCAGCACTGCCCCTCAGTCAGCACTGCCCCTCAGTCAGCACTGCCCCTCAGTCAGCACTGCCCCTCAGTCAGCACTGCCCCTCAGTCAGCACTGCCCCTCAGTCAGCACTGCCCCTCAGTCAGCACTGCCCCTCAGTCAGCACTGCCCCTCAGTCAGCACTGCCCCTCAGTCAGCACTGCCCCTCAGTCAGCACTGCCCCTCAGTCAGCACTGCCCCTCAGTCAGCACTGCCCCTCAGTCAGCACTGCCCCTCAGTCAGCACTGCCCCTCAGTCAGCACTGCCCCTCAGTCAGCACTGCCCCTCAGTCAGCACTGCCCCTCAGTCAGCACTGCCCCTCAGTCAGCACTGCCCCTCAGTCAGCACTGCCCCTCAGTCAGCACTGCCCCTCAGTCAGCACTGCCCCTCAGTCAGCACTGCCCCTCAGTCAGCACTGCCCCTCAGTCAGCACTGCCCCTCAGTCAGCACTGCCCCTCAGTCAGCACTGCCCCTCAGTCAGCACTGCCCCTCAGTCAGCACTGCCCCTCAGTCAGCACTGCCCCTCAGTCAGCACTGCCCCTCAGTCAGCACTGCCCCTCAGTCAGCACTGCCCCTCAGTCAGCACTGCCCCTCAGTCAGCACTGCCCCTCAGTCAGCACTGCCCCTCAGTCAGCACTGCCCCTCAGTCAGCACTGCCCCTCAGTCAGCACTGCCCCTCAGTCAGCACTGCCCCTCAGTCAGCACTGCCCCTCAGCGCTGCCTGCTGCAGCGGGTTCTGCAGGCGCATGCAGCACCACTCCCGCCAGGTCATTCGGGCCCGGAAAGGAGGAGCAGGAGGCGGGAGATGCGCCACTGATGCTGCCATTGCCGCTGCTGACGGCACTGCGGCTGATGCCGCTGCTGGTGGTGCTCGTGCTGGCGGCTGTGGGTTCAGAAACGATTGGCTGACGAGCAGGCAGGGGGGAACGTATTGGTTCGGAAAGGAGGAGCACGAGGAGGCATGAGATGCCGCCGTTGCCGCTGTTGACGGCACGGCTGCTGCTGCTGCTGCTGCTGGGGTTCGTGCTGGCGGCTGTGGGTTCCGAAACGACTGGCTGACGGGAGAAGATAGGGGAGACGAGGGTGGAGACATAGGGGGTGGGAAACGAGAGGAGAGAAGGTACAGTGTATCCACACTCAAATGGCTCACTAATGCGAATAAATCCAGCTGCCGGGAGTTCTTCGGATAATACACGACGAGATAAACTGGAGGTGGGAGGGCGAAAACAGGAGATGGAAGGAGGACGTTTGTGCGCCAGAGAGAAAAAGCCAAGCTGATGTACCAGAAAAAAGAGGATGCGGAAAGTGGGCGTACTGCTGGATGTGCGGCGGTTGAAAGCGTTTCCGTGTGGCCTTGAATGACAGGCGCGTCTGGGAGGCCTGCTGCTATGCAGCGGGACGGAGAGCGGGTGTGGATCGACACAGACAGACAGGTACGGCAGGGAAGCCGGAGGGAGACGTGGGTGGGCGACTGAAAGTACTTTAGTCTGATTAGAGACTCGGTGTTTCAGAATCCACATCATCAAAACAACACGCCGTTGCTGGCAAACGGTGCGTCAAAGTCAGCAGTCAGGCGGTGAGTCAACATGGAAGCAGTGAGTGAGTTCAACATCAATACAGTCACAACAGCATCAGCACAAATGGTCGGCTCGGCAGCACACATTCTCACAGCACATTCTCACAGCTTACACCAGAAATGAAATTCTTGTTTAGAAGAGGCATAGTCAAAGCACCAGGTTGAGCGTTGCATGTGATGTGACAGCTTGACACGTCACGAAGTGGCGGAATGACGTGGCAATGCCGAGCATGCACGAGATGACGGCCCTGGCAATGCTGTATGTTTTGCTAAGGCGTCGCCTGGACGGCGGAACCGAGGAAAACAGGGGGAAAGGCGGAAGCTGGGAGGAATGGGGCGGAAGCGGGGGGAGGGAGAGGCGGAGGCAGAGAATACGGGGAGGAAAAACGCTGATGCTATCTGGGATAGCTAATGGGAATTTGTAACAGCGTTTTCCGAACCGGACATTCTACGGGATTATCCAAATAGACTTATTACCAGAGTTGCGAAGACGCTAAAGAAGAAAGACAGCCTGAGAATATAAAGACGAGACGGCTAGATCTACTGAATCGGCTAGGCTATACCTTTATTTCTCGAGCCGCGTTGAATTTGTACTCCGGCTTTAACACAGTACAGAAATAGTTCAAGTTGAGAATTTTAGTAGGAGAGGGGGCTTGGTCGAGGCGGATGCGAATAATGCTTGCATCTGATCGGGTAACCACGTCTGAGCACGACCATGATTCACGTCCGCCATTATCTTCTTCGAGATCCAGCAGTGCCTGTCGCAGTAGGTGCTAGGAGTGGGAACGAACCAGCTGCTGGGATGGGGATGGGTGTGGAGCGGCAAGAAAATCACCGTGGAGGGATGGGTGTGAGGATTTCAGGTCCAAGTGGAACAAGATCAGTTTCTACGACGATACTGAGCAGTTTGAAAAATTCACGACACTTAATTTGAGACGCATTATGAACGTCGATCGGAGCTGGCGCGTCTGGAGCCATGAGATTCTCGAAATGTGAGCTCAGAAAGTCGCAAGTCAGGGTACTGGGAGCGGAAAAGTACCATATTCTGTTCAAGAGAAGCGAATGCTGAGGTGATTTCTGGGTCTCCAGCGTCAGCCATGTGAGGGAGCCAAATGAAGACTTAGCGAAGAGTTGGTTCCAGAAATGGACGAAACTTGGCAAAGAGTTGGTTACTACGATTGTGTTACCGAGTCTCGTTCGGTCCGTACACGAAAGGGCTTGGGCGAAGGGTTTCAGCATCATCGTCGAGATTCGACTCAACGAACAAAACGGTAACACGAGCCCAGTGAATTTGTTGGCTCATAGGCTTCCCTCCAAAACGAGATTCCGCGAACCTCAAAGAGTCCGTGTTTTGTCCGCGACTGGTCCGCGAAGGGGCCCGCCTGACCAGAACTTCGGACCAGGCATGTATGCACTTACCGCTCGCACTAGTGAGCTGGAACGAACCTTCGAAGAATATATCTCAGCGGACAAGCGAGTCCGCCCAGGGGAGCTCGCTGCCCGCGGGCAAAAAAAATAAACCCCAGAAGGGCATGCATCCGGTCAGGGAGGCATCAACCCTAAACACCGGGAGGCATGGATTTAGGGTTGATGCCTCCCTAGAATGGCATGCCATCCGATAGGGTTTTAGTTTTTTTCTGCCCGGGGCAGCATGTCGTCAAGTCGTCAGAGGGTCGTCAGGCTTGACGACCCAATTCCGCTGAGATATTCCGGACACGGTGTTTCCCGGACCAATTGTGCTTCATTCGTCGCTAAACGAAACCGTGTCACGTCTCAGATTTTCCCAGATTTCGTTGAGCTCGCTGACTTTCTGTTGGACCACGCAAGGTTTCGAATCAATATGAATGGGAACGAAACTTATGCAGCGAAAACATGGCGGCGAAATAGGAAGGTACTCAAGCGCAGCAAAACCAATTTGGCTTGGTTTCTGGGTAACCCTTTTCTGTAAAACTGACGGAGTATCCACCCTTACATGAGGCATACGTTGCGTTCAAGGGAAGGCAGTGCAATGACCCCCCACGAACGAGTTACCTCGTCACTCCTCCATTCAGGCCTTGTTTGTATTGTATAAACACAGTCTAGGCTTCAAGGTCGCTACGTGCCATCCTTTAAAACCAGGGTCTCACGTAAGGAAAATTGTCATCAACTGCAAAACAATTGATGCTGAGTCACCCTGTTTGAGATGGCGAAGTCTAGGGATTGGTCTGGCAATTGACTGTGCTGGTGTTCTAGCTTTGGCACCGAACCAATTTCCGTGCCTGGTTGGTTTGGACACAAACTGCGATTTGTGTTTCCTTCGCACCCCTCGCCACACCCCTCGTCATTCTTTACACCTCGCCATCGAATCCTAACCAAGGTCAAGTCATCAACTGCAAAACAGATCCTTAGTAATCTCGTCTGCTAGGGAAATGATGGAGACAGCGACACACATTAACGACCTTCCCGACGACGTCCTCGCTAGGATACTATTGCATTGTGCGGAGTCCGCCACACCTTGGAAACCCGACAGTGACACGTTATGGTCTCGGCATTCACTGACGCCGAAGCCACTGTACCTTCGCTCGATTGTTTTAGACGAAGATGATCCCAGTGCTGAGGAAGAGTCGTATCCAGTATCGCCCCCCTCCGCCATTCCAACCGCTGCCTGGATCTTCCTCGTATCGTTGGTGTGCCGTCGTTGGCGGGATGTAGCTCACCGTGACGTCTCCACCCTGCTCGTCGAACGAAAACATGCCATTTCCCTCCAACAACTCTCGAATGCCGTCGCGTGCTTCCCGAACCTCACCCATCTCCATCTGTGCGACGACAGCGTGGAAACCCTAGACGACTCCTTCCTCGCTCACCTCGCATCATCCTGTCCTCAGCTCAAGATTCTCCACGTGGGACGCTCGATCACTCACCATCCAGTCTACGTCGGACCGAAACAGAAGCACCCGATCACCGAGGCTGGGCTGGATCGCTTCTTCCAGCGATGCACTCAGCTGGAGCAGCTTTCACTGCTCTGCCTCCATCCGGACGTCCACCTACCCGCTTCCTTCTTCCACCTCACGCGTCTTCACACCCTGGCTTTAACAGCCGCCTTCGCCTTAGAAGCTCCAGATCTGGAGACGCTCGACTCGCTCACCAATCTTCATATCGCCTCCCCGGAGTTGAACGAGGAGCAACTGGCCAACGTGCGTCGTCTTCCCAGCATCACCAGCCTTTCACTCTCTGCCGGGCCCACGTTTGATGTCGAATTGCTGTCGGATTGGCCATTGTCCAGTCTGGAACGGCTGCAGATATCAGACTGTGGAGAATTGGAGCAATTTCCGGACAGCATTGCGGAGTTGCTGCCGCGTCTGCGTGAGCTGACCGTTTCCAGGTGCGAGGCCTTGGAGGAGCTGCCGGAGGGTGTCTGTTCCCTGGAGCACCTCGAGACCTTATCAATCATCAATTGCGAGCACTTCAGCTGCCTGCCTGAAAACATTGGGAGTTTGACTGCCCTGAAAACCCTGGTTCTGGGTACTCTGCCGCTGGCATTCCTCCCTGACTCCGTGTGCCAGCTCAGCTCGCTGGAGACCTTCTTCGTGCTCTCGTGCGACTCAATCTGCGAGCTGCCAGCAGACCTCTGCTGCCTCACGGCTCTCACGACTCTCTGCCTGGGGCACGTGGCACTTCCAGCGGACATTGGACGCCTGAGAAACCTCCACACGCTGCTTCTGAGAGACAGCTACCAATCTCGGCATCTCCCGTCGTCGTTATCGGAGATCGCGTCGCTGACGAGGCTTGAGCTGAACTTGTGCGGCGTGGAGCTGCTCCCAGAGGGCGTGGGGTCGCTCAGCAACCTGCGGGAGCTGCACGTCTCGTGCTGCTATCAGCTCACGGCCCTTCCAGAGTCCGTGACGGGCCTGACTGCCCTTGAAGCTCTCTCTCTCGCTGACTCCCCATGTCTGGCCTCGGTGCCCACAAGGCTGGACGGCTTGACACGGCTCAAGCAGCTGGAGGTGGCCCAATGTGACATGCTCATACGGCCTCCTCTAGTCCTGCCGGCTTCCATAGAATGGCTGAGTTGGGGAAGTAGCTGGAGTCAGAAGCAGGCCATGGCTCTGCCAGACGTCTCCACGCTGACGGGGCTTCGGACGCTCCGTCTGAACGAGTTTTCTGTGGCGTGTGGGGTCACTGTGAGCAGGAGCCTATCGCACGTGGAGCATTTGGAGCTGAATTTGGCAGGCGTTGCGGAGGAGCTTCCATTCCCCTATATG